CAATTAGTTCGATTTTAAAATATTCGAAATAAATTTTCTTGACAATATTCATTATAGAATTATTCTCATTACAGAATTAATAAAATAAATTTAATATCTAATAACATTAGTTATTTGAAGTAAAATATTCATTAATCAATTAAACTTTGTTAAATTTAAAAAAATTGACTTTTTTTGGTATATAAATCGACTAAAACGACTTTTTTTGTGCCTTTAAGTCGATCCGAGGCCTGCGATTATTTATAAATAAAATTTATTTCTTACAATAAATTAAAAAAAAAATATTTCATAAATTTTTATCTCAAAATGATAATTTATTTTTAGGTGGAATAGTGGGAGAGGAAATAAAAATTTATCACTGAATGAGCAATGAGAATAGTTATAGAATATGTGAATTCAATTCAAGTCGATAATACGAGACTGGAATGTGAGGCTCTTTTTTTTTAATGATGAAGAATGTGTTTACTATATATGGCAAATAGATAGAGAATGTTGTTGACGAAAGTTGTCATTTTTAACGAGTTGAATCTCGAAGATTTATTAAAACTTAATCAAACTTCTTTTATCGAGAAAAATTTCGATCATCACTTTATGAGCAATATTAAAGCTAAATAGAATTTATTGTACGGACCATTCATCTTACAATAATGTCTATTCTTATCGTACTTTAATTAAATGAAATATGGAGCATTGACCCTTTTAATAATGAGTCTTCTTTTTTTTTTAAAAAAAAGTCATTTTTTAAATTTTCTATTCAAAAATTTTAATAGTATTGAATATTTAGTTATTTTGAAATCAAATGTGGGAAAAAAAATTAAAAGAACTTTTGTGAAGTGAAAAGCGAAAGGTATATTATAATATATTCCTGTTGGTATTTTCGCTCTCTCTCTCTCTCTCTCTCGACATTTGTTGCACGCACGTATAACATAAGAGAGATTGTAAATTACGATACGTCGAATGTTTCGTCCTCAACGAACACAGACTATAATGTTTGTATGTGACGCCAGAAGCCATTGTACTCAAAGTACCTTGGTTGTAATATCATTTTCTTCGTCAGCAAACAAATCGATATATTATTTGATTTTTTTTTTTTTCGATTTCTCTTTCTCTTCTATTATTTTATCAGCTAAAATTAACTCACGTCTTATTACGCGAGGGTATATATATATATTGAAGGATGATGAAAAAAAATTCTTTAGTTGGAATTTTCGTTTGTTAAGACGATGATGTTTTTGAATATTCTTCAATCTTAAGAGCCATTATCCGAAGCGAAATTTATTAATAGCTCGTATTTACATAATTCTTTATGCAGTTATGCACATACTGCAAATGGCGCAGTGGAAATTCTTGTCTTGAAAAAATAACAAACAGCATTATGGTATTAAGTTTTTTTTTTTTTTTAATTCCTTAACTTTCGCGTATTTGTATTTAGTTTTTTTCAAATTCATCTTTTGATGTTGAATTTTCATTTAATATTTTTATTTACACGAATTTTCAATTTAATGCAATTTTTTTTTTTTTTTGAATTACTTTTTATCTGAGAGAATTAATTTATAAAAAAACATTTATATTTATCTCAGAGCTATTTGTTTCAAAATAAATTTTGAATTAAATAAAGATTTTATTTGTGCTAAATAGATTTTTTATTTAATACAAATAAAAAAATTTTTATACATTTATATAAATGCGAATAAAATATTTTTCTGAATGTAATGATATTTTTGAATTTAATAAATTTTATAATAAAAGCCATTATCGCGATAATTATTATCGAATGTTAAACATTCTTCGGAAATGATTCCAAGAAATATTGAAGTTAAAAAAAATAGATATCGATTTTTAACACTTGAAACATTTATTTTTGAGAAAAAAAGTTTTTTTTAATTACAAAAGATAGAGATTAAAAAAAATTATAAAAATTTTATTTGTAATTAAAACATTTTTTATTTTTAAAAAATGTTAACAATTTTGAAAATTGTTTTTAACAAATAGGAATTCGAAGTTTAGTTTTAGTAGAATTTGATTGTATGACATTCACCACAAAGTGGTAATTCTGACAGTGGACCATTTGGTTTTGTGAATGCATTTTCACACTATAGATGCACTTAATTCCCAACAGCCTCTACCGCTTGCAAATTAATCGTCTGTGCTGTGAACCCTCTCACTGTAATTAGGTATTGAGTTACCCATATATATATATGTATATGTAACTATCTTGCAGATGTAAATTTTCGTGCCACGCGGATATTAATTTTGAAATTAATTAAGATTTTAATTATTCAGATAAATAAACTGCAAATTACTTATTTTCAAGGTTCAACACATATGGCAACTTAAATGGAACTTTTTAACAAATTCCTTTCCTTTAACCTTATTTTAATATAATTATCTTGACAATTTTTTTAACTATTTAACAGAAATTCCATTCAGCGGAAATTTTGATAGAGATTTTATTAAATTAAAATTCGAGTATGGAGAAATAAAAATTCTTGTAAATGAGAATTATTTATTAAATAAATAATTTATTTTTAAATAAATTATTTATTATTAAATAATTTATTTTTAAATAAATTATTTATTATTAAATAATTTATTATTAAATAATTTATTTTTAAAAGTTACTTTTTTCCTTATCTAATTCCATTAAAAAGACAAATTTGTTGCATTAGTGCTAGAAAAAAAAAGAAGGAAAAAAAATAAAATTGGAAACAACGCCCTGAGTGTAATTCCACGCCTATTGACCTTTTGCCACATTGAAATAGTAGCTATTTGTGCTTGGGGCTCTCCCGCACCTTCTCAATTGAAAATTCATTATAGCTTTTATTTTTCACACAAAATATGAAGTGTGTTTATTATATTTTGTGGAGAAAAAAAAAATTTTGCTTTCATTTTATTTGTACGATTCTCATCAATTTTTAATTCCTGAGAAAATAAATAAAATTTAGAAATTCATTTTAATTTTGATAGTAATAATTGTATAGTAATAATAATAATTATTATTTTGTATTAATTTAAAAAAAAAAACGTTTTTGAACCAGAAAAAATGGAAAGGAAATAAATTAAAATCGAGAATAATATAGACAATATAATACTATATTTTATTCCATTCATAGTTTTGTAGATTCTATCAAGAACTGAGTCATATAATTATACGATGCGAAAATAGAACTTAGGAAATGAGTATTAACTCTTTGTTTGCTAATGCATAATGTATATTATAAACTCACTTTGAAGCTAATGAGGCATTTACCTTTCGTTATACACATGAGAATATAATAAATTAATAAAGTTGAATGAAAACGAAAAAAATATATATAAATACGTACTTTCTAAAAAAAAAAAAAAAAAAAAATTTTCATCTAGATTATTAAAGACCATTTTTCTTTAGAAACTCGATAAAGCAAACGGTTTAAGGTTTCCTTAAGACTAATTAATAAACTTGGTAATTGGAAAGTCGAATCTCGGAAATTTGTGTTTGAAGGAAAATGGCTAGAATTACTCATTCTCTAGGCTCGAATTTATCTTGATAAATTACAATTTCCGTATAGTTATTTTTCAATAAAATTCAAGTAAGGTTTCTTCATTTTTTTTAGGAAAAAAAATTTTTTTTTTTTGTATTGAATTAAAAAAACAACGTTGAGTCAACGTCGTTAAATTATTACCGCAAGCCGCGAATTGATTTGTAAATTTCTTTCGAAATATAATGGAGGATTTAATGGCTCGTTTGTGGTGCACTAAAACGTTTACTTTTCACTGATAGTGATTTTTTTTTTCGATTCAGTTTATCGTTTCTTGAAAATTATCGCATTAGATAATTTCTTTTAAAAATAATTTGCATCAATTCAAAAAGTACAAAAAAAATTATTTTTCCCAATTAGAAAAGAAAAAATTAGATTTTTTCATAATTTAATTAAATAATGATAATTTGAAAATATGGAAAAAAAAGAATAAAACAAAATGAAAGAGGAATATTTATTTAGCGAACGTTTCAATGAGAAGTTGATATAATAATAATAATAGTCAAAGTGATGATAAATTCAACATTCTGGAGTTTTTAATAAATGACATTGATTAAGTCACGAGATTCCAGTCCAATTAAATTTATTATGGACGTCGCGAAAGAGACGAGGGAAATATAAAACAAAGTCAGGGGTCAGGGAGAAAAAGACGTGTTTAAAGAGCTGGCGACAAACGTTATCCACACTCAGACTAAAATTCTTGTTTTCAAGTGGCTTGTACTCACGCTGAAACTAGCGTTAGTGGTTTAGACAGAGGGCGGAGCAAAAGAAAAAAAAAAAAAAAAAAAAATTGCACCGTTTAGTGTTAATGAACTCCTTACCAAAAACTCCCTTCGGGCAAATTAAATTCTCAAGGAAAATAAAATTTTCCTTACGTACTCTTGACGTTCAGTTGTTTACTTTTCAGCAAATTACGTTCGAAATTTCAATGAATAATTTTCTTTTTCTATTATTTTTCATATAGAAAATAAAATTACTTTTCAATTTTCAGTATATTTTTTTATCTTAATTAATTGGAATAAAAGAAAGTTATAGCAAATTTTATTAAATTTTTTTTTTTTTTTTTCAAAAAATATTGTCGGAATATAGAATTCTTTAGCATTAAAAGTGAAGAAAAAAAAAACAACTGTTTATGGTTTGAGGCGAGGAGGAAGTTTATTAGCAATATGTGTCTACTTGAGGCTGGAAACTTTATTGTTGTCTCAGCTGATCGCGCGACAGATCTTTGGTTGAACAGCTGCGGTAACAATAAAGTTTCAAGAGCATAAGAGAACTTCTTCCATCGCTAATAAACTCAATCTTTTTGTATAAGTCTATATTGATGAAATATATTTTTTTTAATAACATAATCAACTTTAATAGACTTTCAGTAATAAATAATGAAAGCACTTGAAAGCTATTTTTTGATAGTTGGCGAAATTTTTGTTTTAATTTTTATTTTTATTGTTGTAATTTTTGGTTTTCATTTTTTTTGTTTAACAGGAGGAGGTGAAATCTGAGGAGACGAAAGCAGAAACACCAGCTGATGCTCCTGCAGAGGCTGCTGAGGTAACAACACCAACTGAAGCCACTCCTGCCAGTCAAAATACAGCCACATCGCCTGAAAGCAAGGAAACCAAAAAGAAAGATAAAGTGGGTTTTTAGCCTTATTAATTTTTTTTTTTCTTCTAATTTTCTTATTTATTACTATATCGTTAAATAAGATGAATTTTAATAAGGTGAATTTAATTACAGTCAAAGAAGCACAAATTCTCCTTCAGGACATTCAGCTTCGGTAAAAAAGATAAGACCAAACCAGCACGAGAGGACACACCCAAGAACGGAGATGTCACTAAGGAAGAACCCCTGGTGGAGGTGAGTCGATAAAATCCATTTAAATTGATATTTTATCTGCACTGGATTTTTTAAAACCCCGCGAGATGTTCATTCTCAAGATTTGAGATTTTTTAACTTGATGTGTTTTTAATCTTTTAAGTTGCATTTTTTTTCCCCCCCCCCTCAATTTACAGAAAGAAAAAAATCGAATTTTTACATTAATATAAAATTAAAAACCAGAGGAAATAAAAATCAACATAAAATTACACTACGGTAGTTGAAAATAAGGAAAAATATTTGATTTTCATTTGTCTTCGTTATTGGAGATATGGGCGGAAAGTCGCGCCCTCGCATGAATTGTGTAGGCGATTTTATAGTTTGCAACGCGTGCGAACGAGATCGTGTATAGCTAATTTTTTCTCCTTTACTGAATCGTTCGACTCTATATATATTCTCTCCTTGTCTCTCACCCTTTGTAAAATTAAAAGAGGGATCCAAGAGAAATAGCGGGACAGAGAGAAGAAAAATAAGAAGAAGAAGAAGAAGTATCTGACTCATCCTTTATAGTTCGTCGCACCTCTTTTGCTTCCTTCAAGATTCGCCAGAGGGAAAACCGGCTTTGGATTTTACGGAATTATACGTTCGTGATTTTTAAAATGATGATCTATTATCGTCAAGGATGGAAGTTGACTATATCTTTTTATAAATTTTATTTAGAATTAATATTAAAACTTATCCAGGCCTCGGATTATATACGACTTTTTTCGAATTTTATTTTAATAAAATGCGACTTTTTCGAATTTTTTTTTTTACATTTTTTAAAAAAAAAATTTTAAACAAAATACGTTTTTTTTTAGTAAACAATGCGCAGATCTTAAGATCTTCATTATTTCAATTATTTAAAAAAAATTTCAACTAAAATTCTTTACTAAATTAATTATTGTTAATAATTTTAATGAAATTCATCAGAAATTCAATTATTTTAAACTATTTTTCAATTAAAATTTTTATAAAATTTAATAATTGTTTATAATTAAAAAAAAATAGCGAATAAAATTACCATAAAAATTTTTAATTCAAAATTCTCTTGAAATTTAATTATTTGCAAAAATTTTAATTATTTTTATAATATTCTTCGAAAATTCAATTATTTGAAAGCATTTTTTTCAATTAAAAACTTTTGGAATTCAATTTTATTTTATGATTTCTAATAAATTCTTCATCAACAGAAATTACTGAAAATTTCTCTTATTACGTATAATTATTGTCTGAAATTTTAACAGAGGCTTTTGAAATTCAATTATTTTCAAAAATTTCAATTTAAAAGCTTCTAAAATTTATTTATTTCTAAAATTTTCCATCTAAAATTTTTTTTGTAATTTAATAATTTTAATTATAAATCTCCTGAAATTCAATTATTTTGAATAATATTTTTCGAAAATACAAATATCTGAAACCATTTTTCGCTTAGAAAGTTTTCAAATTATTGTATTTTTGTCTGCAATTTCTAATAAATTATTTTAGTGAAATTATCAAAAAAAAAAAATTTTAATTAAAAATTACTTACAATTAATTTCAAAAATCTAAATTGTAAATCTTTAAAAATTCAATTACTTTAAAAATTACTCTAAAATGTTATCTAAAATTATTTGATAAATTATTTTTAGTTCTGTAAAATTTAATTTCTTTTTTTTTTGATTGAAAATTAACAAAATCTTTTAAAATTCAATTATTTCTAAAATTAATTCTTCAAAAAATTATTATTATTATTTTTAAAAAATATTATTTAAAAAATCAGTAAAACTTTATTAAGTATTGCCTGAAATTTTTTTTTGACCATAAAAACTATGAGAAAATTTTTAATTCTAATAAATTGCTTAAATCAGATTTCAAAAAATTATAAAAATGGAACTTTAAAAAAATTTTTTTTTTTTTTAGAAATTTGTAAATAAAATTTTGAAAATTCTTACAATTAGTTCGATTTTTAAATATTCGAAATAAATTTTCTTGATAATATTCATTATTGAATTATTTTCATTACAGAATTAATAAAATGAATTTAATATCTAATAACATTAGTTATTTAAAGTAAAATATTTATCAATTAAATTTTTTTTTTTGAAATAAAAAATGTGCCATAAAGTCGATCCGAGGCCTGCATTTCCGATTTTAATAATTCTGGAGTAATTTCTTGCAATAAATTGAGAATTTTTATTACTTTTTTTTTCAACAATTATATGTTAAAAAATTGGAAAAATTCTCCCTGGGGTTTGTTTGTTTCTCGGTATTTCGCAAAGAAATTTCATGTTTCAGTTTTGGAAATAATTTTCTCGAGATTTGTGATTAATGTTTGAGCGAACGACAATGACCGTTGACATGACAAAGAGCTTGAGATTATAATTAATTCAATTTCTCTCGGTGATATTCTTTAATGGGGTTATATAGAGGTACTAATAATTTTCTAAAATCATTTGGTCTCGAATTTTGATGTTCGCGGTGGAATAAAACAAAAAACAAAAAAAGGAAAATAGAAGTGAGAATGGCTTACTAATTATGAATTCCCCTTTGTATCTCTTTTGACTGTCGAACGAAGCAGTAACCTCGAGTTTCTCTAGAACGTAAGTCGTTTGCAGATTTGCGTGTGCGGAGTTTTTTGCAGACATTGAAACGACTACGCGTGGCATCGTACGGCACGCCACTGCATCGCATGAACATGGGAGTGGCTCCTTCGCGTTCTCCTACACGATGCATCATCACTCTCATCCTTAAAACACACCATGGCTCCTTTGTCCCATGTTCCTTACGACTTCAATTTTTTTTTTCCTACTGATATATTTAATTACTGTAGAAATATTAATTTTCAATTTTCTTTCTTTTCATTTCAGACTTTTTTTGCGCCTTAAAATCGATCCATACAATTTCTTCTTTATTACAAAATATTCTTTTGAAGATTCAAAAATTGTTTTCAGTCATTTCAATCGTGGAGAAGAGAATAAATTTTTTGGCAGAAAAAGCTCCTTTTAGAGTCTGTCCTTGATTGGAGTATTTTTTTGGAATATTTCAAATTTTCTCTCTTAATATTTTTCATGAATCCAAATTAAATATTGGAATATTTTTGCCGTTTAAAAAAACATTGGTAATAGGAACAGGTTAGTCTGAGTTTTGCGACACGGTTCAACGGTCCAAACTTCCCGGATATACTTACCTATTTTATTCTGGTGCGAAAAAAAAAAAAAACCGGACGAACATTTAAATGTTCGATCACTTGACTATGTTCTTATCAGTATTTATTGCTTGTCAAATATATTTTTAAGTTTTCTTTTTTAAAAAAAAATAATTCATCCCCTTGGCCTCGACATTGTTTGAAAGGATCTCGATCTTGTAAAGAATTTTATTTATTTATTTTTTTTAATGTTTATTTATTGATACAGTGAGACATTACTCTCGCTGAGATATAAATTCATTTCCTCGACAGCGCACCTCTTTCTTTTTTTTTCTTTCTCTCACTCCACCCTCGTTATTATGTTACTACCGCCACATTTTATGTGACCGTAAATAAGATTGTAACGTTTTGCGAGAGAGTTGAAAGGTGCGGCGAAAAGAGGTTGGTTCCGAGTTAGATTTCAACCTTTTGAGATATGCCGACCTCAAAAGAGAAGGTTGTTTTTTTTATTGTCACTATCTTCTGGTTTTGTCAAAATATTTCCAAAAATTATCAATTTAGCGATTAATAATATATTGTTTTTATTCTATTGCAGAAAAGGATTTCATTGTTTCTAAATCCCGTTTGATGAAAGCTTCTGTTCCGAAAACAAGTTTTTTTTTTTTTTTTAATTTACGCCTCTGTGAACATTGCTTTTTGATTCGTTGTCTGTCTGGTCGCGTGAAATCAGAGACAAGAGATGAGGGTGATTGTGTGATACTCTTTGTACGCCTGCGTTAGGGAAATCTGGCGACACTATGTCGAGGGGTACGTGGCTAAACCTTATAATAAAGGGTTGAAACGACGAGACACACGACTTTGCAGGTTGTATTAATTAGAGGTTTCTCGCCCAACATCAAGATAACTCGATTTCTTTTTCACTTTTTTCTAGATAAAAATTTATTATTATTAATTATTAAGTCTTTTCGAATCAAAATTGCAATAATAATAATTGATTTTTTGTTTATTCTTTAGAGAATTGAAAATTTGATTCTTGATTTAGAAAAAAAAATTAAAATATTTCGAGAATAAAAATTTCTAGATAGAAAATTATTTTATTCGCTCTCTATATTTATAGAAGTCATGAGAATTCGGCCCTCGAAACCATAAAATCTCTTTTATTTGATCCTCGACGTGTTTTGCAGAATCAAGCACGAATAGCTTTTTATCTCACTGACCCTTTCATGTTTTAGCGAAAGATTTTTTCATAAAATGCTCTAGATATGAAATCGAAATTGCTATCCTAGGTGAATGTATGAAAAAAAGACAAATTTTCAATTTTTTTTTCTGTTCCAGAGTCTTTTTTATAAAAAAATCTTTTTTTCAAGGAGTGCAGGCCTCGGATTATACGACTTTTTCCGACTTATTTTTAATAAAATGCGATTTTATTTATTATTCAATTATTCAATTATTTAACAAATTTTGAATTAAAATTCTTCACTAAATTAATTTTTTTTAATAATTTTAATGAAATTCATCAGAAATTCAATTATTTTAAACTATTTTTCAATTAAAATTTTTAGGAAATTTAATAATTGTATATAATTTTAAAAAAAAAATTAGCAAATAAAATTACTAAAAAATTTTAATTCAAAATCACTTGAAATTTAATTATTTGCAAAAATTTCAATTACTTTTTAATGATTTTTATAATATTCTTTGAAAATTCAATTATCTGAAAGCATTTTGCAAATTAAAAACTTTTGAAATTTAATTATTTCCAAAAATTTCAATTATTTTTAATGATTTTTATAATATTCTTCAAAAATTTAATTATCTGAAAGCATTTTGCAATTATAATTAATTTTTAAGTACACTTTTTTTGTCTATAATTTCT